CTCTTTTCTCCCCACATTGGCTGCTTCCTTTCCAAAACTTCCTCTCTCCTTTTCCAGTTCAAGACTAGTGTGTCAGCCTTGTGTGAGTGGGACAAAGACGCCAGTGGCATGTGTTGGGAGAGGAAGAGGTATTTACTGTATTTAATGCAGACAGATCTAAACAGCCACCATACAGTCTTCTTAAGAAATTACTGATTTTTAATTAACAAGTCACACATAAATACATTCTTGTTGTAAAAATTAGAACAGCAGAGATAAGCATGGGTTCCCTTGACTACTATCCTTAAATCAGCTTCTCTCCAAGGAAATCCCATTGTTGCTCTGCTGTATTTCCTTCCTTATCTACGTGCTTATGTGCAATTTATATGTACACATAGAACTCAGTCATCGTTTAAGTGCATGTCAGCATCACTTATTGCATTATATGTATTGCTTTCCTCCGGTTTTTTATTTTACCCAACAACAGGTTCTTTAGGGGTCCTCAAGTCAGTATATGTTGACGTGACTCATTCTGTTCCATCTCTTCTCATGTACTATGGATGTTATATAGTGTATTCAACTGTCCCCCAACCAGCGGTTGTTTCTGTCTTTCCACTATTACAAACGATGCTTCAGAGGACATCCTTTCACATGCCTCCCTGAATATATGGGCAAGGAAGTTCTTTGGGGTAAATACGAAAGAGTGGGACTAGTGGCTTGTAAGGTGTGTGCCTTCGTTTTTGAAAGACCCTGCCAAATTGCCCTGCAGAGTGGCCCCACCTGTCTACCAACGTGTTTCATTTGCCCACAGCTTCCTCAATACCTGACACTATCAGACTTTGTAATTTTGCCCGTCTAATGGAAAAGAGCGAATCTCCTGTCTTCTCCTGGCCATCCTTGGTTAGGTAGGGGGTCTGGGAGGGGAGCCCCATGCTGCTTATGGCAACCTCCAGCTAGCTCTGTTCAGTCGTAGCTTCCCCTTCTCCTCTCTGGGACCCTGGTTTGTGCTGAGAATCTGCTTGCTTCTCGTGGGCCTCCTGCCTCCCGTCCTCTGCCCCCTCCCTACGCTCCCATGCCTTGGGGCTCAGCTTCCTCTTGTCTACTGTTAGTTGCCATGTTCAAGCTTCAACATTTTTGTGCACATTTCTCATCTTTCGTTGTCTCTTCTGTTATTCACTCTAAATATTCTTTATCTGTCATCTTGACAAGGTTTTAGGAAGGAGCAAAAATTATTGTGGGTATTCAATCTATGATATTTCATCCATATAATCCCCTGCCAGACCTTCAGCCTCTTAGAGGCAGCAGAAGCTTGTACTTCTGTATCCGAGCACGTAGCATCAGGCCTGGCAAATAGGGAACAGCGCTTGCAACATGTTCACTGAATGGAGGAGCAGGTGAAAAAGTATTTGAACATCTCACTCTGATGGTCTCTGGGGAAGGGATGGTGTCTAGGTGAGCGTTACCAATTTATATGACCAGCAGGTTCGTGTAGTCTTGTACACTTTTACTTTTCTCTCCTCTTGCACGAGTCTATCTCCTCTGCTAGGCTGAACTTTGACTCTTGCTTGAATGATCCGCTGACCAAATAAATAACTGTGTATCAGAGCAGGGAGGACAAGTTAGGACCTCAACAGGTGACACCATGCCTTTCCCAGCCTGATGACTCTTTTTCCAGGCTAGTGGACGAAGGTACCTTGACCTCCATCCCGTGAGAGGAGGGACAGCTTTGGTGGTTGGGACAGTGGCTTTAGGGAGTTAAAGATGTGGGCTTGAATCCTGGGTCTGCCGCTAACTTATGTGACCTTGGTCAAGCTGTTAACCTTTTTGAGCCTCAGTTGATCCTTAAACCGGACTGGCTTTTCCTGTGATGCATGGATCATTAATCAGCATTACCTGACAAAAGATTCAGCAGTCCAGTATATCTGAGAAATGTTGGCTAAACAAAGTTAAATAATAAGATTTATAATAATAAAATATGCGAATACTTATAACGATAATATATAATGAATACTATATACAGTCATTACAATGGTATTTTTTATACACTATTTTAAATTAAATTAGCATTAGATTATATATAGCAAATTATGATTATATAATTATTAATTAAATTATATAAACATAATGAACATAACAAAATATATACTTAAAATATAATAAAATAATGATAACATTGAGTGCTTACTATTTGTCAGGCACCCTTTATTAACACCCTCTCACTTAAACCTTGAAACAACCCCACAAACTAGGTGTTATTATTGTTATCTCTATTTCACAGGTGAGGGACTGAGGCTTTCCAACCTTTCAAACCACACATTGTGAATCTCAAAGGGCAGCCAGGACAAGCACACTGCCTTTTACCGGGGATCTCATGGTGCTAGGCTCTGCAGAAATGAGCTGGGCGAGGCTGGGTGGCTCCTTGATGAGATCCCTTCATGCTCTAACTTTCTCTTCTTGTCACTCCTGACCCTGTGTGCCCCTCTCCTGAAGACTGAGGGCCCCCAGCCTGGAGCTTCCCTGGCGGGGCTCTGTCCTTATGCAGCCAGATGCAGATCAGAGACTCCTGGTTATAGGTGGTCTGTTTATGGAAAGTGGACAGCGCTTGACCCCTGGGTTCCACCTCTGGGAGAGTAGCCTGTACAGAAGGCTCTCCTGAGTTCCTGGTGTACCAGAGAAGTGGTCATGGTGGAAGGTGCTAGGCATTGTTCTGGCCAGAGAGCAAGAGCAGGGGATTCTCTTGACTCTGGCCTGCAGTTCAGTCTGGGATTGACTGGCAGAAGATTTGGGGGGAAGGGACTCAAAGGAGTAGGGGCTTCCATGGGAGGGATTGCAGAGCCTCTGTCACACTCAGGAACTCAGGCCACGGGGCTGCGGTATAAGAGGCTGGAAGCGAGAATCTGACATTCTAGGCTGTGGACCTTCCACAAGCCACTGCCCTCCTTGGAGACTGTTTCCTCATTCGTAAGGGGGAGATAAGAACATCCTTTCCACGGGAGTCAGGGTGGGGTGGGGGGAGGCGCCGTGAGAGAATCCAGTAAGATCTGAAGAGGCTCTGTAAACTGTACTCCCCTCCAGTCAGCTGTTCTCATGATAATAGCCCTGGGCCAGGGGGCTGGGACTCTGAGCTCCTCTGAAGTTAGTATGCCCATAAACCCTTAATTTTGGGGGCAATTAACCCGTTGGTCTGATTCTTTGTTTTCTAATACAAGTCCCTTCCCAAATCTTCCTGTCAGGCCAGAAAAACAGATTCAGGGGCTTGTAGGGGCTTGGAGTGCATAGCAACTATCTGGCTGATCTCCCCCTTCCCCGCAAAGGAGCAGGCCTATTTCTTAGGGCCAAAAGAAGGTGACTCACACCAGACCTGCCCTGGTGGCTACGGCCTTTGTGAAGGCCCAGCCACACCCTGCTTTCTAGCTAGCTTTCGGTCTTGCCTTCTTCCCCCTCAGGGCTTCAGACTCACTTGCAGGTCTGATTCACTAGTTGAAACAGCCTCAGGCTGGCAGTCCTGGGTAGCTCAGGGCTGCTCCTGGGGTTGGGTGTGTGTGGGAGTAGTTTCCCCAGTTCCTGGATAGGTTGATGGTTGGAAAACAATTTATTGGGGACTGGTTCCTGAACCTGGGGGTAAGTCTTCCTCAGTCACAGGTGACCCAGGTGGTAATATGCAGAGAGGAGGGCTGAAATTTCACAGGGGCAGCTGAGACCTGGAGGCTGGCCTATCTCCCTAACACCCACTTAAAAGGGCACAGGGCCTTTGTCCAGAGGGCAGGATTGCTCTGACACGAGGAGGGGAAGGAACCATGGGGATAATTCTGAGGAGTGGTGAGGCTCCTGGGGACAGGAACTGGGGTGAGGTGGCTGCAGTGTCCTGCAGTGTCTGGCAGGGGGCCTGGGCCTCCAAAGTGATAAAAAACAGTGAGTGGGGGCTGTGTGTGGAGAGGAGTCCTTCCCGATGACCCAGACTCTCACTTTGTGCTTGGGCCCCTCCTCAGAGCTGACCCTAGCAGTTCATTCATTCACGCACGTACAAGGACAGGACGGTTAGGCACCAGGACTCAGCCTCTGACCCCTTCCAGGAACTTGCAAGAAGGGAGGGATTCCATCCCATTTTTGTCTCTGGGTGGCAGATACTAAATGTCTTATGGGCAAGTCACCTGCCTCCCTCAGGCTCAGCTTGCCCATCATGGAACTGTTAAAGCATTTCAATAAATCTGTGTTGAATGAATGCATGCTTTGTGGGCCCGACGGTAGGGGGTTGTCCCTGTGGAGGGTGGGTCATCAGTGGCCCCACTTCCCATCAGCCCCCAGGGGTGAGGGGGCGGTCAGGCCTGAGACTGGAGTTGTGAAGGTGCTGCCCAGCTGCGAGCCACTCCTGGCAGCTGCTGCTGGGAGCCATTGGTCACCATGGGTGTACACAGCCCCAGCAGGGTGTTGCAGTTTTCTCTCAGACCAACACATTCAGCTCCGAGCACTCTCAGCTGAGGCAGAGTCAGGGTGCGGATGATCCCCAAAGGGCAGATTCTGAGAGGCTATGATTTGGAGTGGGGTGTAGGAGTCTGGTGAATGTACCTTGGTGGGGTGTTATTTATGATCACACGGAAGGGGCTTAGAACTTGATTCCAGAGGGGGACTGAGCGCAGTCACTGCGGGAGGACAGAGAACGGGGGTATACTCGCAGAGGTGCAGTGATTCCTAGAGGTGTCAGACTCGGCGGGATCTTCATGGGAGAGGGGCAGAATGTGAGCTGGGGTGTCTGACACGTGTGTGATGGGGTGAAGATAGAGATAGGTACGACAGGAGGGGGTGGTGGGGCTCCGGAGTGGGCTGCGCTGGGGCAGCTCTCGTAGGGCCGAACCTCTGGCTCCTGGAAGGGAAGGGTTGGAGGCAGAGCCGCCAGCAACTGACCAATGGGGAGAGCTCCCGTATTAGCTCTCAGGAGCCTGCAAATTCCTCGGCGCTCAGCTATTAGCCCCGACGCCATCTCCTCCCCCTCTCCCCACTCGCCCCAGGCTTAAAAGGCGCCAGGTGAGGGCCTCGCCACTCTTCCTGCCGCCCGCAGCGCCTCCAACCACTGTCTCTCTTTCCCTTCGCCATGACTTCCTACAGCTACCGCCAGTCGTCGGCCACCTCGTCCTTCGGGGGCCTGGGCGGCGGCTCCCTGCGCTTCGGAGCGGGAGGCACCTTCCGCGCGCCCAGCATCCATGGGGGCTCGGGCGGCCGCGGCGTGTCCGTGTCCTCCGCTCGCTTCGTGTCCTCGTCCTCCTCCGGGGGCTTGGGCGTCGGCGTCGGCGGCGGCTTCGGTTTGGGCTTTGCGGGCGCGCTGGCCAAGTCCGACGGGCTGCTGGCGGGCAACGAGAAGCTCACCATGCAGAACCTCAACGATCGCCTGGCCTCCTACCTGGACAAGGTGCGCGCCCTGGAGGAGGCCAACGGGGACCTGGAGGTGAAGATCCGCGACTGGTACCAGAAGCAGGGGCCTGGGCCTGCCCGCGACTACAGCCACTACTTCAAGACCATCGAGGACCTGCGGGACAAGGTGGGCGGCAGCCTGGCCGCGGAAAGTGCACCTGCCGCGGAAACCCAGCTCTGCGGGCCGGGCGAGGCCGGAGGCGGGGGCGGCCGGAGCCCGAGCCACCGGCAGGCGGGGCGGGAGCAAGCCCGTTAGGGCATGGGTGGGACCGCGGGGTAGGGCAGAGAGAGGGGGCAGGTGAGCTGGGCAGGACAAAGTGGAGGCCGGGGTGGCGGGAAGGGGGAGGGTAAGTAGGTGGGACAAGTGGCGGGGGCGGGGCTGCAGGGCGGGGAGACCGGGAAAAGGGTGCAAACAAGTGGGAGGGGATGGGACGCGGTGCGGGCTGCCCGGAGGTCTACGCCAGAGGCCGCGATCGCAGCAGGCGTTTGGCCTGGGAGGAGTCTGGTTCTCCGGCCAGACCTGCCCCCGGCTGCCCCCAGCGCGGGCCCCCCAGCATTCCTTTTCTTTGGCGGGGCAGGTCTGGTTTTCATCACCCTCTTCCCCCCCGCCCAGGGGGCCACACGGGCCTTAAGAGGAGGTAGAGGAAGAACGGGGAGGCCACCAGTGGCCCCTGTCCATTAAGGAGGGACGTATGCAGAGGCCCCGGGGGTCCTTTGCTTCTGACGACCTCTGTTGAAAAGATCTGGAGCAGGAGCGGCGGGTGGGGGTAGGGTGGCGGTGTCTGAGCCACAGGCCTTACCCGGAGGCTGTAAGCGGCGTGCAGGGTGGGGCTTGGTTTCCGCCCCCGGGGGAAAGCTCGGAGCTTGGTCCCGAAGAAATGTAGCAGAAGTTAAGGGGACATTGAATCGCCCCACATGCTGGGTGTCCAAACTCGCAGCTCCCTGCACCACCACCCAGTGCCCACCATGTGCCTGGCATGTTGCTGGATGCCCGGGGGCACAGACTGGCGCCTGGGGTAGGTCCTGCGGGTACACAAGGAGGGAGAGCTAGAGATGTAAACCACCACTAGGATACTCCTTTCACACTTTGAAAATTGTGACCTAGGATAAGAAATACATTTTGCTGTGTACCCTGACACATTCTCTCCGTCTCTCTCACACAGACATACACAAAATGGGGGCAAAAGTTTCCTGAAACAATTCTTGCTGTGGGCAGTCCCTTCTGATATTTTATATTCTGGTCTGTTTCATTAAAAAACAGTGCAAATCGCCACCCAGTACAATGACTAACGAGTCCAGATATGCTCTTTGAAAAATGCCAAACCCATGTGCCTTAATCAGTGGTATGAATACGCCCGCACCTCAGAGGGACCTCAGATTGGGGTGAACTTGGACAACGAATCTTGAACTTCAGTTCTCACCTCTGTAAAATACATGTACCCACAGACCTGACATGGAGGATGAAGTGCAAAGTGCCCAGCATATAATAGATGCTCAGCAAATGGAAATCATTTCCGAGGCAGAATGGGCTTGAGTGGGGGGTGTAGACAAAGATACCCTGCATTTCCCTGCATCTGGTTTGCAGATCATTAGAACCTCCCTCCCTTAAGGCCGATTAGTTTCCCTAGGCACAGGTCTCAGAGACCCCCCCTCCTCCCCCATCCCCTCCCTCAGTCACTGACCCCTGGCCCAGCCTCCCTGCAGTAGTTTCTCCTGTGCAGCTCCTGGTCATAAACGGTTTCCGAGGCCTCCCAGAGAGTAGGCCACTGGGCAGCCAAGAGGTGGCTGGGGCTTTGGTCTCTAAGGCTTAGGGACATACGCATTTGGTCCCCTCTCTCTTCTGGGAAGAAAGTGGTGGGTGGGCAGTACCTATGCTGAACCTGTGCCAACCTTCTGCTCCCAGATTCTTGGTGCCACCGTTGAGAACTCCAAGATTGTCCTGCAGATCGACAATGCCCGCCTGGCTGCAGATGACTTCCGAACCAAGTAAGTATCTCTGCTTTGGAGGGCTGCAGAAGCCAGGGTAGGGAATGGGGGTGCAATTCCAGGTCCTTTAGGGGCTCCGTGCAGTAGGGGGACTGGACTGCCTTCACCCACCCCAGTTGGCCTGAATCAACCCCCACTTCGGACTCCTGAACCCTGTGGGAGATGGGGAAGTCTTCAGAGGTGCAGAAGAAATGCTGGCCTGACTAGAGCTATTTCCTCTGAAAGATTTGAGACAGAACTGGCCCTGCGCCGGAGTGTGGAGGCCGATATCAACGGCCTGCGCAGGGTCCTGGACGAGCTGACCCTGGCCAGGACTGACCTGGAGATGCAGATTGAAGGCCTAAAGGAGGAGCTGGCCTTTCTGAAGAAGAACCATGAGGAGGTGGGTTTCAAGCTGGACTTCTACCCTTCCCACCCTAGCTACCCAGAACCCTTTTTTCTCCTGTATTCTCTGTCATGGGCATCCTGTAGCACCCTCAGCATGGCTTGGGTATGAGGCAGGGCTCCCAGGGCTCCAGCAGAAGATGGTGGCAGCACAGTCAGGGCTCCAGTGCTGGCTCCTAGGTCTGCACCTGAAATCCAGCCCCCTTTGGCGTGGGGGGCAGGGGAGTGGCCAGGCCCAGGCCCAGCAGGCTCTGGGCCTGACCTGTCTGTCTCTGCTGTTTCTTTCCAGGAAATCAGCGCTCTGAAGGGCCAGGTGGGTGGCCAGGTCAGTGTGGAGGTGGATTCTGCCCCGGGTGTTGACTTAGCCAAGATTCTGAGCGACATGAGAAGCCAATATGAAGTCATGGCTGAGAAGAACCGGAAGGATGCCGAAGCCTGGTTCGTCAGCCAGGTATGGAGGGGGAAGCAGACGCCCTTTGGGGAGGTGGCAAGGAGAAAGAGGGCATGGTGTTCCCAGGTCAAGGTCTGCCTCAGTGCTTATCCAGTCCACCACCTCTCATTCCAGTCGGAGGAGCTGAAGCAGGAAGTTGCTGGCCACACAGAGCAGCTGCAGATTAGCAAGACTGAGGTTACCGACCTGCGGCGCACCCTCCAGGGTCTAGAGATTGAGCTGCAGTCTCAGCTCAGCATGGTATGTGTCCCATGCCCTGTGAGGTGTACTGGAGTTCTTGCAGCCTCAGGCAGCCTGGGTAGTGGCTGTGCTCATGCCCTGCTGGCATCCAGTCTCTGCTGAGCTGCTCTCCCTTTCCCTGCCCTCAGAAAGCCGCCCTGGAAGGCACACTGGCAGAAACAGAGGCCCGTTTTGGAGCCCAGCTGGCCCAGATCCAGGTGCTGATCAGCAGTATCGAAGCCCAGCTGAGTGATGTGCGTGCTGACACCGAGCGGCAGAACCAGGAGTACCAGCAGCTCATGGACGTCAAGTCGCGGCTGGAGCAGGAGATCGCCACCTACCGCAGCCTGCTGGAGGGCCAGGACGCCCACTACAGCAACCTGTCCATCCCCAAGGCCCTCTGAAATCCAGCAGCCTCCTGGGCTTCCTGCCGCTCTGCAGAGGGATTCCCCTGGGTGGGGCACTGGAAGTGGGGGGGAACTCTTGCTCTGGGCTCTCTCCTTGACCTGCCAATAAAACTTTATGGCTCAAGGGAGGAAGGATGTTGGGTCTGTTATTTCAGCCCATGGAAATGGGCCAGGCCTTGGCTTTGTTTAGGTTTTATTTGGACCAGAGTCCACTCTGTCCCAGGTAGGGAAGGGAGTGTGCTGCTCACTAACTCTGACCATTATGGTAATTCCCGTTTGCTGAAGTCTTCATTTATCTACCCTGTACCTTAAAATGAGCTTGTGAAATAAGTACGGCTCCCGTTTTACAGAGGAGTAAACTAAGGGTCAGAGAGGTGAAGTGGTTTATTGTGTATGTTACGGTTCTGACACATGGCAGAGGTGGGATTTGAAGCTTGTTTTGCTGCCAGATTTAGTTTTCTTTCCACTTGCCTCCCCCAAGGGTTGATGTGTGTCTATGTGTTTGAAGTTAATGGTTACTGAGCATCTACTATGTACCATTTAATCAAATAGCCCTAAAAAGTAGTATGAATTGCATCTTACAGAGCAGGAAACAGGCTCAGAGAGATTAAGTAACTAGTCCGGTGTCACATAGCAACTACACAGCAGAACCAGGATCAGAATCTGGGTTTCCTGATTCTTGGCCCACAGTGCCATCCCTATGCCCCTGTCTCCTAGGATCGATAGCCCTTGTGCCAGGTCCTCAGTACATTCCAGTCTTGCTTCATGTCAGGGCCAAGGACTGGGATCCCCTGGGGCAATTCTTCCTGACATAATTCACCTAACTGAAGGAAAAACAGGCTTTGGGATCAGGGCCTGAGATGGGGGAGGTGGGCCTGTCAGGGTGTGTCTGCGTGTGCACGCACTAATATTCATCTGTTCTTGGGCAGCCCTGCATAAGCCCCTTACACCCACTAGCCCAGACCTGGGCCCTGAGCCTGGAATGGGACCCAGCAGTGACTCCGACCTCCCACACAGACCCCTAACTTGGTTTGCCTGCGGCCAGTACTGGGCCAGCAAAGGAACACAAGTCCCAACTTCCTGGTACAACTCTGCCCTTGGGTGGGTATGCTCCTGCCCCTGTGGTTTACAGCTCAGCTGCCAAGAACTGAGGCCAATTAAAAATAAATAAGAAGGGCCCCCCTTCTCCCCCTCCACAAGAGGTTCAGGCTGATTGGATCTGTTCAGGCCCCATGGAGCTGTCTGTGATAGTCGGCTGACCCTGTGAGGGAAGGGCAAATACGAAGACCCCAGGAGTTATCCCATAGGGGCATGGATCAAATGCTGCTCTGTGTGCCCAGCACCATGCTAAGGAGGGCTGGGGCCCTGTGTCAGCCCATACTAGTAACCCAGAAGGAGGTTCTCTTGCAGCCATTTTCCTGTGTGTCTTGGAGAGGTTCATTAGCTAGCTCCAAGTCATGCTGGTGACCCCAGAGCCTAGCTCGCTGACCCCAGGCCAGGAGCTCTTTCTGCCACCTCCCCAGCTGTTCTCTGGCCTCCAGAACTCACAACCCCCCTCTCCCACTTAACTTCCAAAGGCTTAGTCCCACTCCCAGGGATTGCACAGAGATATTTGTCCCCTTTTCATGAAAGCCTCTGTTGTCACAGCTGAAGCCCTCCCCTGGCGTCCTAGAGCCCCTGGAATGTGGCTGTGGGGTGGGGAGTGGGCCCACACAGGTGGGGCAGGTGACTGGGTTGCAGGTCTGGGTGTCAGGAATGAAGCCTTCGTTTGTATGTGTGTGTGTGTAGTGGGGGGCAAGAGTGGGGCCATTTTTCTCTCAGTCTGGGAACTAAAACTAGGGGTACTTTGTTGGCAAAAGTGGCTGGGATATAGAAGAGGGAGGAAGAGGGGACTTGGGGGACAGGGTCTTTCCACCCCTGCTGGTCATTACGGCCACTTCAGTTTGCAAACCATTTCCTGTCAGTCATCTTGCTCCATCTGCAGAGTCAGACTGGGCAGGAGTTATTTCCATTTTCCTGATTGGTAGACTGAGGCCCAGAAAGAGGAGGATGATTACCCAAAGTTATATACTTAATAAATGAGAAAGAGTTCTCCAGGCCCCAGGTCATGCTTTCTTTGTCCCTAGCATCTTCCTGGGGAGCAGGGGACGTGAAGGTGGATTCTAACATTTATGGAGACATCCTGTCCCACCATGTGCCATCAGATGCTCACTGTGACCCTGTAGCTGGGATCAGTGGTAATGACCCAACTTTTTTTTCTTCTATTGTGGTAAAACACACATAGCACGAAATGCACCATCTCAACCATTTGAAATATACAGTTCAGTGGCATTAAGTACCTCACATGACTGTGCAACCATCCTTAGCATGCATCCTCACATCTCTTTCATCTCATAAAACTGAAATTCTATACCCATTTAGGCAGTAACACCTCATTCTTTCCCACCCCAAACCCAGCCCCTGGCAGCCACAACTACACGTTCTGTCTTTGCGATGTTGCCTCCTCTAAGTACCTCATGTAAGTAGAAAAACCGCCCAGTTTAATTCAGGAACCTGGCTCGGAGAGCTGGAGTCACATCCAGAGGTGGAGCCCAGACCTAGGCTGCAAAGGCTTGGCAGGAGGAAAGGCCTGGCTCTGGAGACGGCCTGTCTGTGTGCAGTGGGCAAAGGACAGAAACTGGCACAGAACCTGGGAGGGCTGCCTGGGGCAGGGCCGAGGGATGCAGCCTGGGCTGGGGCCACATGGAGCTTGATCTCCACCCTTGCCCAGCCTGGTGCTAATGAGCAGGCCCCCAGGCCCTGCCCAGGCTTGGAGCTCACAGGAGCCGTTTGGACTGAAATCAGAGATTTGAGACTGGGGCAGCTCCCTGGCATGGGCCTGGGAGTGGAGGGAAAGCCACCTTGAGGGGCTGCTGCAGGAGGGTTAGGGTGCAGAAAAGGGGCTGGCTGGGATCCAGCCTGCCCTCACCTGGGGCAATAGCACATAATTGCTCCTGTGTTAATTGTTGGGGCCTTAATGTCTGCAGAGGCTTCAGTGAGCTATGGCTGATCTGAGTTTGGTTAATTTTATTTCAGAGGAAAAGACAATATCTTCCCACCCATGAGACAATACCACACTGTCTGGGCCCAGCACTCAGAGGCAGGCTCACTGTGGTACTGGGTAAGGAGAAGCCCACCCCATGCACCCGGGCCTGCAGTCCCTCTCCCACCACCCCAGCTCAGATGAGGAATCTGGGCTCTGTCCCCTGTATAAGTGGGGGTCAGAGGACCCCTTTGAGTCCTGGAGATGCCCCTTACTAGCTGTGCTAATAAGTGATTGCATGAATTGCTTCCCCTCTCTGAGCCTCAATTTCATTCCTCCTGAAATAGGAGCAGAGATCATTTTCTGTGTTCTGAAAATTAGAGGAGGACGTAGATTCAAAAGTGCTTTGTAATCTGTGACATGTGCAGTGGAAGTATGGGATCACTGCTATTACAGCAATAATGACAATGACCCCTTGCCACTAGGGAACTGAGACTTAAAGGTAGGTATCTGAGGTTTCACAAGCAGTGATGGGGAAAGCCAGGATTTGAACCCAGGCCTGAGGGACCCCAGAGCCCCTGTCCACTTCCCTGCATGGCAACCCTTGGCAGGGAATCTGCCTTACTCTCCAGCTCAGTCTTGCTCACCTCCCCAAGCCCTGGCTCTGCCTAAGCCTTGGGGCCATGGCCAGAGGGCCAGGCCATACCTCCAAGTGGCAGTGTCCACAGGCATCTGGTATCCCCAGAAAGCTGGTCCCTGAGCTGGGCAAAGAAAAGGGCTCTCATGAGTGTTGGGCACCCCTCTCTGGCCTCAGCATCCTGCTCTGTGAAGTGGTGCCTTCAAAGTCTCCCAGGTATCTTCCAGCTGCCACCAGGCCCCTCCTCTTCCCTCCCACCCAACGATGCTCAAGCACACAGAGCCCTCTGGGTCCAGTACCCCCCGAGCACGGCAGCACTTGACAGGACTAGTGGGGCAAATCTGGCCCTGCTGTGCAGCGACATGCCTCTCCCTGGAGAAGGCAGGGGCTTCTTGGAATGTGTCCCAGTCTTAGCTGCAGAAGTTTGCCCCAACGTGTCCCAGGAGCAAGCGAAGGTTTGGTGACATGTGCAGCTGGCAGGCAGCGGGATTGTCAATCAGCGCCTTGTCAGCCCTGAGTCTGCTGACTTTTGTGAGTGTGCCAATGCTGGGGCCAGGGCATGGGGACCTGGACAAGCAGGAGTGGGGCTGTGGGTTGGAGAGGATGCCATTGCAGCATCAGGGAAATGACAGATGCTGGCACCTCTGGTTACTTCAGTTGGAACTTGACTCAGGACCCCTCTCCTGTCCTCAGTTTGTCCCCATGGGCACAGCATTCCTCCTTGTGCCTCTGCCCACTGGTCCCTAGAGGCCACCATTATCTCTGAGCCATACAGGCTCACACATGGAGTCTGTGAGTGGGACCCACAGAGCAGGAATGGAAATTGGATTCCCACATTGACAGTGGGTGAGGGTCCTGGGCTGATGGCAGCAGAGAATTCCAGTCGAGGACAGAGTGGGCCTGAGCTGCTCTAACTGTGCTGGCAGACACCTGGTAACTGCTCTGAGATGCGCATTTGCTCCGTGCCGCTCTTGGTGTGTTGGAGAGATGAACTTGAAATCCAAGTGTGAAAACCATCGCTTGGGGCAAAACACCATTCATTCTGAATCATCTCTTTTGTTACATTAAAAAATAAAAGAATGAAGAGAAAAACTCCACACCAGACACACTGAGGAGGTGTACAGGCAGCTGTCTTTGAATGCAGGAGTTGGCTTCCCTTTGGGGGAGGAGACACGGTCCCACAACACCCTCCACGGAGCATATAAGGAGCCCCAGGCTGGGGGGAGGCAGGCTCAGCCCTCTGCTTTCAGCCCAGCCCTACCTCCTGCCAGCATCTCTGGTCTCTCCTGCTTGCTGAGGACTCACCGGCTGCCTGGCCATGAGTACCACATTTCTGCAGACTTCTTCTTCTACCCTTGGGGGTAGCTCTACCCGGGTGGGCTCCCTCCTGGCTGGGGGAGGCAGCTTTGGTGGGGGCAGTCTCTCTGGCGGTGGTGGAAGCCGCAGTATCTTGGCTTCTTCTGCTAAGTTTGTCTCCTTGGGGTCAGGAGGGGGCTATGGGGGCAGCATGGGCTGCACCTTCAGTGGAAGGGCTATTAGTGGTTCTGGTGCAGGCTTTGGAGGTGGCCTTGGAGGTGGCTTTGGTGGGGGGTTTGGTGACTTTGGTGGTGGCGATGGTGGCCTCCTCTCTGGCAATGAGAAGATCACTATGCAGAACCTCAATGACCGCCTGGCCTCCTACCTGGACAAGGTGCGCGCCCTGGAGGAGGCCAACACTGACCTTGAGGTGAAGATCCATGACTGGTACCAGAGGCAGAGCCCAGGCAGCCCGGAGCAGGACTCTAGTCATTACTACAAGGTCATTGAGGAACTCCGGGACAAGGTAAGCCCTCGGGCATCAGAGAGGGGAGTGATGGCTGGGGCCCTGCCCACATCCCTAACATCAGTGGTCCTGCTGCCTTGAGGAAATTCTTTCCAGCCCAGGCAACCACTGTCCATGTGTCACCTTGGCAAACTTGGAATGTGGGGGATGCTTCTCAGGTGCAGATGCTGGGTACATCTGCTGGAGTTGCCAGGGCCTGGGAACCCTGGGAATCTGGTCAGCACCAGTAGGGGCTGAGGTGGGGGCAATTACATGCAACCTGCAGGGCTCTGCAAAAAGTGTTTCTTTGCTTCTTTTGCAAGGATGGTGAGGGTGGCCTCAGGAGCCCTGCATACTCGGTGCCGAAAGCACCACCGGGACTTGGCAGGCCTGGAACCCATTACAGTCTCTGCCACCTGCTCACTCACCCTATCACTCATCCGGACCACTTTCTCTAGCTGTAAAGTGCCTTCCTGAGTTTTTCCCTCCAGGTTCCCACTGGCTGTGGAATGTTCTGTAGATCTGAGTCTGTGTCTAGGAGGCCACTGACCACGAGCTCTTCTCAGGGGAGGCTGGTGAAGTAGCCCTGAGAGAGTTGTCCTCAGAACCCACTGAAATCCACCCCGCCCCACTCCTGGCTAGGCAATTCCCACAGTGCCAGTCGTTGGTCGTTCATGCCCTGGAGATAGGAGATAGGAGGGTGGTGTGGGGTCAGGCCAGATGGGCACTTCAGGTGAGGCTGGACTCTACCTCCGGGACCCTGCAGGCTTCTGGCAGTGGTATCAGAAGGGAGATTGTCAGTGACGGGTTTGACCTAGGGTACAGGGTGGGGAGAGCAGCCAGGAGGGGTTCTCTAGTCACCAACTCCCTGCCTCCTGTAGATCCTGCCGGCGATCATAGACAACTCCCGGATCATCCTGGAGATTGACAATGCCAGGCTGGCTGCGGACGACTTCAGACTCAAGTGCGTCCAGCCTCCTTCTGCCCTCCTGCATCCCCCTCTGCCCTCCTTTCACTGGTCTTCTCTCCCTCTTCCAACTCAAGTGGCCCAGTCCCCTCAGCTTTCCTTCCATGGGCTCCATCTCTTGTCCCAGATATGAGAACGAGCTGGCCCTGCGCATGAGTGTGGAGGCTGACACCAACGGCCTGCGCAGGGTGCTGGACGAGCTGACCCTGGCCAGAGCTGACCTGGAGATGCAGACTGAGAGCCTGAATGAGGAGCTGGCCTACCTGAGGAAGAACCACGAGGAGGTGAGGGCTGGGCAGGGGCTGGGGGCAGGCGGGAGACAGAGGGCTGCTCCTGCTTCCTCTTGGCTAAAGAGCTTAGTGGTTCAGAAATGCCCTCCTCCCCACCAAAACAGAGAGAGAGGAAGGGGCACTGTCCTCTGGTGACCGAGACCCCTTTCTTTCTTTGATTCACAGCCAGGCTAGGTGGCCAGTGTGAACTGCTATCCTGATTTGCCTCATGAGCTCACATAGGGGCCCTCTGATTTTGAGGTCCTCCCTTGTTAGGACCTGGAGAGAGGAGAGACCCACAGACCTGAGGGACCTATGTGACCAAACCTGCTCATGTGCAATGGGAAACAGAGGCTGGGTGGGCACAGGGGAGAGCGCAGGTCATGTAGGGAGTTAGGGGCAGAGCCGGGATGGGCGTGTGGGACTCTCAGCTCTCTTCTGCCCTCTGCCTCTAAGTGGGTCCCACCTGTCCTGCAGGAGCTGAAGGAGTACAGCAGCCAGCTGGCCGGCCAGGTCAACGTGGAGATGGACGCAGCCCCGGGTGTGGACCTGACCCGAGCGCTGGCGGAGATGAGGGAGCAGTATGAGGCCATGGCAGAGAAGAGCCGCCAGGATGCCGAGGAATGGTTCTTCAGCAAGGTGGGCCTGGCCTCCCAGCCCCACTGCAGCTCCCCACGTCTCCCAGGAGGCCCACAGGGCTCACTTCTCTTGTGTGTGACCTGTAGACGGAGGAGCTGAACAAGGAGGTAGCCTCCAACACAGAGATGATCCAGACCAGCAAGACAGAGATCACAGACCTGAGACGCACCGTGCAGGGCCTGGAGATGGAGCTGCAGTCCCAGCTCAGCACGGTATGCCACCCCAGCCCGCCCAGCCTTTCCCACCATCTGGGGCTGGTTAATCTTGCAGTTCCCAAGCCCCACGTGAGGGGCTTCTCTGCACGCCATTCAACATGGCCTGACTTGCTCCCCATGCCCTTGGAAGCTTCCTTTCTAGCCTGACTGGGTGTCTAATGATCTGTTGTTTCACTAGAAAGCTGGCCTGGAGAGCTCGCTGGCGGAGATGGAGTGCAGCTATGCCACACAGCTGCAGCAGATCCAGGGGCTCATTGGCGGCCTGGAGGCCCAGCTGGGCGAGCTGCGCTGTGACATGGAGGCTCAGAACCAGGAGTACCAGATCCTGCTGGACGTGAAGATGCAGCTGGAGCAGGAGATCGCCACCTACCGCAGCCTGCTGGAGGGCCAGGACACCAGGTAGGGCCACGGGTGCTGAGGGAGGGAAGAGGGGTTGGTCGTGGTTGACGTGGAGAGTCATCTTAGAGGACAACAGTGGTACAGTGAAAAGGGAACTGAGCAAGGAGTATGGTTGCCTAGGCTCTGTGCTCTGGTCTTTGTTACCCTGGGCAGGTCACGACCCCTCTCTGGGCCTGTGTTTCTTCTGTAGATGACTGTGGTTGGGCTAGTGCTCTCTTAGGTTAAATGTGGGTTCCATTCCCTGCATGAAAGAGTTGGGATGTTATCATAGATCAGAGTCTATCTGCTTAGGAGTGGCAGGTTTGGACAGGCTCTCAGGATGCCCCAGACTCTTCAAAAGTCAGATGTGGGGGTGAGGCTGGAGAGGACTGCTTAGCCATCCCCCTGTCTCCCTTAGAGAGACCTGAGCTCCTGCCCTTTGCTCCTTTGCTTACATCTGTTTCTCCTCTCTTTCAGGATGGCTGGCATTGGCACCAGAGAAGGTAAAAAGGCTTATCTTTTCCCGTGTGGTGTAAGGAGGGGACTTTTGGAGCCACCTTACCCCTTGGCATGGGGAGGAAGGAAAAAGAGGCCAAACCTCCCAGTAGGGTTGGGACATGACCATTCCAGTTCATACCTCTTCCCCAGCAGGGCCGGGTCTCAGCCCCAGTAGAGATGGGGTTGAAGATTTATTGAGAACCTTCCAGGTTGAGCAGCCTTTGTCCAGGGTGTAGCTTCCCCCAGGTCCCACATTCATGCAGTTATGGTAAGAAGCCCACAATGACTCTCTGTTCACGGGCAGTTAAAAGCCTTGACTTTCTTACTCACTGTGGGGCATACCTGCTATGCCACTGCCCATCTCTGTGATGAGTGATTTCACACCAGACCTCTGGTCAACTCCTGAAGGATTGGCTAGTGGTCATTCTCAGGGGTGCTGTCCAATTCTCCTGGAGTGCAGTCAAGGTCTAGCTACCTTGGGAGGGAGGACAGGGAGGGTCCCTGGCTAAAAAGCTTGTTCCTTTCTACAGCCTCCCTGGGAGGTGGTAGTGGCAAAGTCCGCATCAACGTTGAGGAGTCAGTGGATGGGAAGGTGATTTCTTCCCACAAAAGAGAAATCTAAGTGCCCAGCGCAGGAAAGACATCCCTTGTCACCCTCACTCTCCCCAGGCTGAGCAGAGGACTGGCCAGAGGGGCCAGAAGAGCAGCTCTGGTCCCTGCCTTCAGAAGGTCCAGCTCCAGGGGGTCCCTTGTGCTTAGCTGGGTGCTTCACGTCCTCTCCCGTCCTCTGCTCCAGCTTACCCTGCGTCCTTTAGTGTGGGCAGTCCAAGAAGCTGTTCTATTGTGTAACAGGTTTATTTGTAATGGCTGTCCATGCAATAAAGAACTGCTTTTCCTTTGCAAATATCTCTTGGTAGTATGTCTAGCTTTTCTCGTTAGGGGCCTCTGAGGAGGCCCAGGGCCTACATGTTGACATCTCCACCCAACTTTGCTCTCTTCCCTGCATGGTCATAATTCATTCTTTGGGTTGGCCAGAGCACCGAGGACAAACCCAGGCTGCTCAGGTGACTTGCTGTTCTGGTTTACCCCATTTAGCAATCATGGACACAGGAGACCAAGGGTTTCCCCAGAGCAGTGTGTGCACCTAGCACACAACTTGACACATCAAATAATTATTTACTAAATGACTGACTTCAGGGATTGGGTTGGTTCACCACTGTTTGGTTGACACTGTGCTGGGCACATCCACCATGGGTCTCATTAATACTCCCAACTACGGGTGGTCAGGATTTATCATTCCCATCTTAGAAATGGGGAAACTTAAAGATGAGGAAGTCAGGGAGATGAATGACTCATAGACAGTAAACATCAGGGCTGGGGCTGGACCCATATCTGAATGACCCCAAGACCTGCCTTGTTCTGGGACCCCAGGCCCGGCCCTTCATGGCTCATTGCCAGGACCCTTCTCTTTGCATCTGGCCCTCGCACATGTGCTCCTCAAACCTCCCCTCTTTTCCAGCCATGTACACTTGACCTTTAGAGTAGCCACGCCGGTTCCCTTCTGTGCCCTCCTGCAAAGATGACCCATTCCCTGTGAAGCTGCCGTCGCCTCCTGACGAGGCACTTGAAGGGCCCAGATGGAAAGACAGCAGCTCCAGGAGGGCTTCCCTGATTTTCCCAAGCTTAAGTGCAAAGCAATACAAACACCTGTTGCTGTTATCTGTCCAGATCCTGCTCTTGCTCCCCTGTGCACAGTGTCTCCACTCTTGGGGGTCCCTTAGAGCAGGGACATCTGAGCAACTTTGTTGTTGCTTCTGGTCTGGAGCTTGGTCCTCTGGGACCCCTAGCCCAGACAGAGGGCAGGGAATGAGGACGTGGAGAACTCTGGGTGCTGTGGATGGGCTGGGCTTGGGTGAGGATGTGGGGGAGAGGGAGAGCCAGTTTCTTAGTCCTGCTGGGAAGAGCTGGTTGAAGGTACCTGTGTTCTGAGAATCAGATCATTTGGGGGAGAGTCAAGCCCTCTGAGAGGGCCCCCATGAGTCTCTCCGGGTGAAGCTGATTGCCCAGCAATGCTGGTTGGAAAGAAGATGGTGCCTGTTCTTTCTGGGGTGGATTTAATCTAGAATATGTTTCCTGAGTGCATACTTTGAGGCCAGACTTCTCTGGAGCTGGAGGAAAGATAAGGAATTTACGGAGTGTCCATACTATGGCTAGGCTCTGGGTAAGACATCCAATGGATGGCATCTCATTTATCCCCCCCAACAGCTCTGTGCTGGCAGGGTCAGCCTTCAGTTTTTGGAACAGAAAATTGAGGCCCAGGAAAGTTAAGTAACTTGGATGAAATCACAAGCTGGGAATAATGAAAGAGTTTGGGACCCATCTCTCTGATTCCAAATGCTTGCTTTTCTCTTGGTGTCCTGAGGGTGACAGAGGCTGGTGAGACCTTTCTGAAGAGGGTGTGCTAACCAAAAACCCACTTCTCAGCCTCTCTGGGCAGCCTGTTCAAATGTCATGCAGCCATTATGGTCAGAAAGATTGTTCTCACATCTAAGCCTGGTCTCTCATGCTGTGGTTGAGGTCCATGCTGGAGCGCAGAGCACCAGGTGCCGTGTCCCCACATCCTGGGACAGCCGGGCCCTCCCTCAGACTCTCAGACCCAAAGGCCTGGCTGCTGCTCCTGCCTCACTCACCACCAGGCCTCTGTCAAGAAGTCTCAGGCCTTTTCTCAGCCTTTATTCTACAAAAATAACCACCTCTGCAGAGGTGCAGAGAGGCAAGGTGGGGCCTTCTCTCAGGGCCGGACGGTGAGCTGTGGGAGAGGGGATGCCTCTTCTGCCTTCTTAGGGTGCCTGCTCCTGTCCTGTGATTTCGGTGGTGGGGAGGCGACCGTCAGAGAAGTTCTAGGACTTGCCAAGTCCTTACCCCTGCCTGACTCTGGAGTAAGTCGTCTAAGTCCAGGGATAGTTCATGCCTGGCTGAGCCCTTTAAAAAGTCTCTGGGCAGAGACGGCCCGCCTTCTGCCTGCCCCCGGGCTGAGGCTGGGCCTGGGTTCCAGCCAATCTGGGAAGCAGGCAGCAGGCCTCCCTTATTTCCACAGAGGCAGGGAGGCTTTAGGACTAGGGATTAGGGCCTTGGGCGTGTTCTTTGCTCAGGCTGGCTTCCCAGAGTGCGCCTGCCACCACTTCCCTGGAGACTGTGACCATCCCTGTCTCTCTCTGGGTCTCAGTTTCTGCCTTTTCAAATTGAGGAGCCTGGCTGGATGAGATGACCTTGAGTCTCTTTATGAGCTGATCTGTATCCTGGGACCTCAGAGGGGACCCTGGGCTGTGAGATCTGCGACAGCAGGGCTGTGCTCCCTGCGTGCACAGCTGAGTCCTCAGAGCGGGAGCTCAACAAGTAAATGTTGAGTGAATGTAAGAATGGCTTCTCTTTTGCTTTTTCCTGCCTTACACATGGCTCTGGACTTCTCTAAGATCCTGGGGGAGGGCCCACCTGGTGGTCAGCTAGCCCTCCATGGGCAGCTGGCAGCACAGGGGGATATAAGGAGCTGGCAGCTTTTCCCATGAGATTTGCAGCCGGGTGACCCCAAGAGATGCTACTCCTATTTGCCATTCCTTTTCATCTAAAGCCAGGAGACAGGCTTCCTGAAACAGCTTCTCAGGCATTTACTGAGAGCTTCCCTTGGCCACGGGCAGTAGTATTCAGAGGTCTATAAAGACCCTTTCCTCAGGGAATGTAAGACTGATGGAGGAAAGAAGATGGGAATGCTATCACCTGTCGCCTGTTTGATGGTGGTGAGCACCAAGCTGACTGCAGAGACTGCAAAGGGAGGCTAAGTAAATTGGCACAGGATGAGGCCAGAAGAATCCTCAGACAGGTCATCTAACAAGGATGGCCTTACATTTCCTCATTTGTAAGAGAGGAAATAGCAATCTTCCGCCTACTGAGTGTTCCTGTGTGTCAGGTGCTTCTCAAACATGAACTCACTGCACGCTTGTTTTTCAGTTGTGACCCCTGAGGCACTGAAAGGATGAACAACTTTCCCAAGGTCACACAGCCAGTCAATGGCAGATGTAGGGCTGAAACTCAGTTCCACCTAATTCAAAGCCTTTGCTGATGTTGTTGCGTTTCTGGGAAGCCTGGGTGGTATAAAAGGGATTTTAGAAAGCTGGGTATTATAAGGATGTAAGGGTCTGGGGTGTTGAGCCTAGAATGGAGAAGGCTCCTGAATACCACTGTGTCAAGCAGGTGTGTCTGAGGGTGGGTGGGGGACGCTGACCAGAGGGCCTGGGCCCACCTTCTGGGGAGGGTTTGTCTTTCATGAGAGTCCCTCCCCCGTGGGGGAGCCTTGAGACCCTTTGAGAGTTGGGTCAGTCATCCTGGCCTCCAGGCCCTCAAGGTCCAAGGAGAGAGGGAAGGAGGAAGGGGTGGGACCCAAGATCTAAACAAGGAGCCCGAGATTAGGAGCTGGGGGTCGGGGTGGGACAGGACCCAGGCCTCAGCTCTGCAGGTGAACAGTTGGTGACTCTGGACAAATCTTTGAGCTGAAGAACATGTAGAAGTCATTTCAATGTAAAGCCATTGTGAATTGGTGATAGAGTTGGAAATCCAGGGATTCCTCCTGCCTTCCCCCTGCATTGGGCCTGACATCTTGGGCCTCAGCTTCTGCACATGTGAGGTGGGGGTTGGATGGGAAATTTCCTCTGACAGTTCTGGCTTTGACATTCGGCTCTGAGTACCCCTGCAAGCTCCTGGGCTTTGGAGGCAGGCCAGGCCGGTCCATCCGGCCATCAGCTGCGCAGGCCTGACCACTGTGGGAGGCGGGACCACCCACCAGCTGCGCCTGGGGTGACAGGAGGCCTGAGAGGGCAACAAGGACACCCCGGCTTGGACAGGATGCTGCCTAACCCTGGCCGGAGGGATTCACCGCACAGTAGTTCAGGATGCAGACCCTGCAGCCGGAAGCTGGAAACTTGGCTCTGACACAGTCAACGCTGGGCCTCAGTTTCCTCATGATAAAAGTAGTAGAGTTACTCAGAGGACCAAAGGAAGTCCTGCACATAGAGTGTTTAACACAGTGTTTAAGAAATGTTAGTTAGTGTTATTTTATTACCGTTTAACCCATGTAGAACAGAACACTCAGAGACCACAGCTGAGTTCCCAGTGAGCCTCTAACCACTGGGCTGGAGAGAGCCAGGAGCCAGCTTTAAATCTTAATACCCTGGTGACTTTGAGCAAGTGATCTGGCCTCCCTGAACTACTGCTGCCTCATCTATAAAATGGGTTCAATAAAAACCCTCTTGCCTTGTGGAGAATCAATGACAGTGTTTTAAACACAGCTTCGTTTGCAGGGGGTACTTGTAAATGCAGTCTTCTCTCTCTTTCCCTGGAAATGTTGTAGGGCAGGGGACTGAATTTGTGATTTTGCCAAAAAGCAAAGAAGGAAGCTCAAGACACGGGGGCAGTGTGCCAGCCCCACCACTCTGTCCTGCCCATTCAGACCGGGGCCAGTAGAGGGGAAACCGAATCTCCAGGATGGGTCTCTGCCCAGCTTCCTCCAGGGGAGGCCCGGCATGCATCCTGCAACCCTGTGGGCCATGGGGCCCACCGTGGGTCAGGAAGGCATTCTTGGGTCAGGCACCACAAGTCCCTGCTCTGGAGGGGAGGGGAAGGGAAGGGAGGGGAGGCATGTCATGGCTGCCCTGTGTTTGTACTGGGGCTTTGGAGGATCTGTGGCATTGTTCCTCTGAGAGGCGTTGGCTTGAACCTGCTTGTCAGCCTGGGGGAGAATAGTCACTGCAGGCCTGGCAGTTCTATTAATCTCCTTGTCAGGTTTGATCCTCTTCGGAGCTATGGAGAGCTCCTGCTTTGGGCTGAATCACACCTTTTCTCAGAGAG